AGATGGAAAGGTCGCTTTTTTATACACTAATATCAGAAGTGTTCTTTCTAAATGTGTTGAGCTATCTTCGCTAATCAACTCATACTCGCCATCTATCTTCGCACTAACAGAGACATGGCTCAACGATACTCTTTCTGATAGTAATATTCTTGTCAGTCAAGCAGAATTTAATTTTTTTCACTGCGATAAAAAAATTCATTGCTCTACCTATTATTATTATTTCATTTCTTGAATGCGTACTTGTTTCTTTGAGGCTTACTTCTACCGAATTATTTATTGCCGTTTTTCATCACCCTCCTGACATGAATTCAATGTTCGAAAGTGAATTTAATCGTGTTGTAGTTGAAGTATGCACGCGATTTCCTAATGCGGTTCTTGTCGTTTTCGGTGACTTCAACTATCCCAATATTGAATGGTCAACGCTATCTGTTTCATCCACCGACACCCAGGCACAGGAATTTCTAAATTCTTGTCTCGACTTTTCGTTGTGCCAGCTTATCGAAAAACCGACACGTTCCTCGACCACATGCACAAACATTCTTGATTTACTCTTAACTTCTCATTCCGATCTTTTCACTGATATAGGCCATCTCGATGGTCTTTCTGATCATGACATAATCATGGGAAACTTGATATGTTCACTCAGCGAAAGGAGAGTTACCAACAAGCGTATAAGATGTTACAACCGTGCCAACTTTGATGAAATTAGTGCCAAATTGTTCACCTTCGCTGGAGAGTTTTTAGATACCAATTTGTCGTGTTCAACGGAAAATAACTGGAACCTTTAAAAAAATGCTCTTTCCAACTTAATTGATCAATATATACCAGTCATTACCATTAAAACAAGCATTGTCGCTCCGTGGTTCAATAATCAGCTGCCTCGGCTTAATAATAAAAAAAAGCAACTGTTCAGAGTAGCGGACAAAAACAGATGATCAGATTCATGGTGTCGTTATAAAACATGTGACAAGTCATAGTAACGCCTTTTAAAAACTATTCGTCGTCATTTCTTCAACCATGATTTGTCATAACTGCAAAAAAATAGCCCTAGGCACTTTTGGCACACAATAAATCCTAGTAACCAACCTGATGTAACTCTCGCTAATACCAATGGAACCCCTGTTCCGGAATCCGAACGTGCTCAGTTATTAAATGATACATTCTTATCAGTCTTTACTCTTGAGGATACTACTTCATGCCCTAACGTAGATGTTGTTGCCAGTTTTATTATGTTTGAAATAATAATTGATGAAGCTGGTATCATATCTTTACTCGAAAAGTTGAAAATTTTGTCTGCATCCGATCATGATAGCTTCAATAATAAACTACTGAAAAATATTTCCTCAGGTATATATCACTTTTTGGCAGCAATCTTTTCTCTAACGTTATCATCAGGCACCATTCCTCACAACTGGTGAATACCAAAAGTAGTGCCGCTATTTAAATCTGGTGATCGCTCATCCCCACTTAATTACAGACCCATATCTTTAACTAGTACCATATGTAAACTTTTGGAACACATTGAACACTCGCAGGTAATCGCAGGAACACAATATCATTTTTAAATACCAGCATGGATTTCGCAAAAGCTATTCATGCGAAACTAAACTCGCGGGATTTACTCATGACTTGCACTCATCATTGGACGCTGGCATTCAAACTGATGCCACATTCCTTGATTTTTCAAAAGCATTTGATCGTGTCCCTCACCATCGGCTCTTACTAAAACTTACGCAGCTTATTATTCACCCACTTGTTCTCGCATGGTTGCAAGCCTTTCTTTCCAGTAGAAAACCATTCAAGTCTGTCAATAACTTTAACTCTCCTTTTGATGAAGTCTCATCTGGAGTTCCCCAAGGAAGTTTGATTGGTCCTCTGCTTTTCCTTATTTATATTAATGACTTACCCTCCTCAGTCAATTCTAAAGTTAGGCTATTCGCTGACCATTGTGTCATTTACCGTACCATTTCATCTGAAACTGATCGACAATCTTTACAATCTGATCTTGTCTCTTTAACTTCATGGCGCACAGCATGGCAAATGACACTAAATCCTTCAAAGACTAAGCTAATATGTCTTATTAAAAAGCGTCCCGTATTACAACGTCTTCCTTGTTAAATAACACTTAGGTGGAGCTTACGACCTCTTATAAATACCTTGGGGTTAACATTCAGTCTGACCTGTCATGGCATTACCACATTAACGTCACCCTTGCTTCAGCAAATCGCTCACTCGGGTTCCTTAAACGTAACTTGCAACACACCCCCTCGCACTTGCGTAAACTGGCTTATATCACCCTAATCCGTCTTAAAATAGAATATGCGTCAGTCATTTGGGATCCCAATAAAGACTACATTATTAAAAACATTGAAGCCCTGCAGAACTATGCTGTACCTTTTATTTTTTCTGATTATTTACATCACACCAACGTCACTTCATTGAAACTTCGTGCCGAACTGGAACTCTTATTACGTTGCCGTAAAATTGCTCGCTTATCACTACGTCATAAGCTCTACCATAACACATCACTTTACGAGGACTTCTTTAGGTTATCCCCTGCCATCTTTTGGCGCCGCAATCATCCCTTTAAAATCGAACGCTTCCCTTGTCGCACAATTCATCACGCTAGATCCTTCATACCGTGCACAATAACCGAATGGAATTATTTACCATCAAACATTGAAACCGTCACCGATATCACTGTATTTCAGAACCTACTAAACATGACTGCGAACGTGTGAACCTTTTACGGTATTCCCTCCCCCCCCCTTTTTCTTTAGCAAACCGTGTTTTCTGTATAAACTGAGTATGTTCATGGTTCGTGTTATTTTCTGCTGTGTTTGCCTAATTCAGTATTTAACACGTGCTATTGGTGATGTCATTTCTTTATGCTTTAACGACACATGTGCTTGCAGTAAGCTAAATTGCGTTTTATTGTACTCTTGTGACTCTATTTCCTTCCTTGTTTAGATCGATTTTAAAATATTTTTATAGTTTCATTGTTGTTTGACTCATATTACTTCTGATTATTTAAGACTATGCGGTAAGAATATTGACCTTATATTTACTCTAATCTATTTAGCAGCTGTATTAGTGTTTAGTTTGCATGTTTTCTGGCCCTATTAATCATTTCATGTACCTGTATGTGTTATAGCCCCCCCCCCCCCCCATGTAATACCCTCCTGTGAGAGGGCCCTTAGGGGTGTTCTGAATAAAAAAGATAAAATAAAAAAAAGACCAAGCAATTTTCGAACCGCTACCCACTCCCCCGTCCCTGCCCCTAGTCGGGTTAGGTTTCAGGCACTTGATGTCGGGTTAGGTTTAAGGCACAACTTCTCGGCTGGCTTGCAAGGTGCATTCGATCGAATAAACTAACAACGGCACACGCTCGTTGGCCCGGTGCCAGATATCTATAACTGGGAGGACACAACTTCAAGCCAGAAAGATTATTTATGTGCCGTTGCTATGACAACCAATGTGATAGCTGGCAATGACTGCGTTTGCAGCACGTCGGCCTTCTTCAATGATGATGATGATGATGATGATGATGATGGTGTGTGGTTTTTTATCGTGCAAGGACCATTCTTGGCGACAACGTCGACCTTTTTTGCGAGTGAAAAACATGACATACCTTCCGACCGTGCTATAACCACGTTTGCCGAATATTTTCCACGAAGCGCTGGTGGCTATGGCAACGCACTTTTCTTTTCGCTTGATGTTCCTTCCTCCCACGGACACGTATCCACTGTGGTTCGCAAACCAATGGTCACGTGGTGTTGTTACTTAAGGTTAGTTCACACGGGCAACTAGCACCGGTCACGCGACCATTGGCGACTGCAAACTAAAAAGCGACCGGCGTTCACACCGGTAGAGGCTGCATGCGAGAGACCAGAAGTCGCAAACTCGATTGATTCGATTGATTGATATGTGGGGTTTGACGTCCCTAAACTACCCCAAGATTATGAGGGATGCCGTAGTGGAGGGCTTCGGAAACTTCGACCATCTGAGATTCTTCAACGTGCATTTCAAAATTTTCAACCAATTTAAACCCTAACCGAGCAAAATAAACGGAAATCAGAGGCATGAAGTCCACAAGTTTCCTGCCTATTTACTGCGGACCCGACCTTTTAAAATAGTGAATGATCAACTGCTTCTTTGCTATATTTACCTTGAACACAAAGCTTTCTATGCCAGTAAGTGCAGCTAGTAAGTGCGCTTATTTCTCAATTTTTTATTATGATTACACAAAGAAGCAAAGTTTCAAATAGTGACGTGAAAACAGAAGATATCTTCCGGTACATAAAGTACGAGCTAACCGAACAGTGAAGTATGAATTAAGCGGATTTTAAGTACACTGAAAGAATAGTGGGCCAACAAAAATTTAAATTTTGTTTGAACTTACTGAAAGTATGAATTATCAGAGTTTGAATTGTCGCAAGTCTACTGTAGTGCAAACAATTCAATGTTTTTTTTTTCTTTTTTGTATTTTTTTTTTTGCAACAACAGGCAAGCCTGGCAATGCAGAAAAGACATTCAGATTTACTCAGTTGGGTATGCTTAGTAAAGCAAATCGTTGCAAACTTTCTCAGACACAAACTGCGACACTGCTAACGAAAAGTACAGATAAATTCTTTTTCCGTTATGCTGGTAATTTTTACAAAAGTTTCAAGTGTTAAATTATTCTTAATGTTATGCCATTACACGTTTACTATTTTGTATTTGACAAGCATCGGCCAGTCAATGCCATATACGTACTGTGTGATAGCAAGAACACACAAAAAATTGAAAGGCCTACCTGGTTCACTACCTGTTCACTGGTTCACTACCTGTTCACTGGTTTATCGCTTTTATAGTCTTCATTAACGTGTCTTCTACAACAGAAACAGCTAGAACACTACGATGACTTGAACAGAGAACCTTACACTCCACATGTGTGCCACCCACAAAACCATTGTTCTAAAAGCGCTATAAAAATATACCTATAGTAATTAAAAAGGCACCTTTAAGTCCCAAGTGATTTCATTCAACACTGGCGGGACATCCTCCTCGACTGAGGCAAAATGGCCTTGCCTGACCGCCTCCTCCCTCTCTGCAGTCTCCTTGGAGGCCGCCACAACCCTCTGCAAAATCAGGCATGACGAATAGGTAGTAGCGGGCAATTGAGTATCCTCCATTGCTTGGTGACACACAGAAACCACACATAGATACATTTCGAAAACAACCTCTTCAAATTTATGCCACTGAAGTACCCGACGAGAAGCAATAAAAGAAAGGCAATTTTTTAGGTGCTCATTCGTTTGTTCAACACAACGAAATTCATCTAGTAGACAATGAGGCTAAGAAAAAAATAGGGGGCACTAATCATTGTCTATAGTGTAGCAATTATGCTGAGTGAAATCAATTAATGTTAATGAAAAGATTAAAAATGCCAAGCCTGCGCAGAAGGCGCAGCACAGTCACAGCGCAGGCTAGAAGAGCCTTTTCTAAACACTCATTGGGTAACTGCTGCAAACACACTTGCTGGGTACCACTGCGGCATTAATAATCATAATTTCTGAATAGTAAGCTGGCATTCGCAATGCTATCTTTCGTCATTCTCGTGAGAAGTGTGGTATCTGTTAAACACTTGCAAAAAATTTTGTGCCAATTGTTCATGCAGTGGCTGATGACGATGAATAATTATGCCTGAAGTAGGTATGCTCCACAGATATTAAGTGATCAAGAACAAGCCTTCGTTGAACGACCCACTCGTTACGCTATTCGCATTGTGTGATGCCTGGTTGTTCTTTTGCTGTTCTAAAACGCTTTATTACTCATGTAGTAGAGCATACGCACCAACGCGTATGCGCCTTCGTAAGATAACGAAAAGCCCCGTGCTGTGCTTGCACGAGAGCTTGTGCCACTTTTACCAGACTTGCCGTACGCCTATTTTCCGTCGCGACCTCATTGCGACTTCTCTGCTCGAATAAACGTCAGTACATTTGGTGGAGGTGCTGGGTAACAATCCCAGTACCTATCGTCAATAGCATTGTCCACGGCTAGTGCGCAACGCATTCATCCCTCGGCTGTGTGTACGGCCCGCGTCGTCATCCAAGACGTTTTGTACATCGTCCAATTTTTTGTACTACCATCTTGCTCTCATGACCTCATCCTGGGTTGGGATTTCTTATCACGTCATGAAGCTATCATCGATTGTTGCCGTGCGGAAGTGTCCCTAGTGCCAATTTGTGAATTTCCATCGCCCGACCATTCACCTCTGCTCTGCAAACTCATAGCTGACGACGACATCACCTTGCCTCCGGAAGCTTCAGTCCCTATTAGCCTTTCATGTGTGGCGCAACCTGACGCCACGGTGGTGTTTACGCCATCTCCTGTTTTTGCTGGACGCAAGGGCATTGTGCTCCCATTTGCTGTTCTTACAATTGCGTCTGGTTTAATTGTAATGCTGGTTACCAACCACTGCAACTACCCTATTGGCTTACTCCGTGGTGAAACCTTAGGATATGTACAACCTGTCGACCTTATCGATGATATTATTCTTCCCGACGAAACCCCATGTCACATTGCCACAATCACTCACGCGTCTGAGCCACCAAGCTCGCCAGCCTTCGACAATGCCATTGACGCAGACCTTTCTTCCTCGCATCGCAGCCAACTTGTTGCTCTCCTTAACAAGTTTCGCTCTTCTTTCGACTTTCAGAAACCTGCTTTGGGCCGCACCACGACTGTCACTGATACTATTGACACCCGCTCACATTCGCCTCTGCGACAGCGTCCTTACCGCGTTTCTGCCAAAGAGCGCCGCGTCATTACAGAGCAAGTAGATGACATGCTTAAACGTGGAGTCATACAGCCTTCTCAAAGCGCTTGGTCGTCACCCGTGGTTCTGGTAAAGAAAAAAGATGGCACCATTCAATTTTGCGCGGACTATCGCCGCTTAAACAAGATTACAAAGAAAGATGTCTACCTGTTACCACGAATAGACGATGCTCTTGACTGTTTACAAGGCGCCGAGTACTTTACATCCTTGGATCTGCGTTCTGGGTATTGGCAGGTGCTAATGGCTGAATGTGATCGCCCTAAAACAGCCTTTGTAACGCCGAATCTCCCTATATGAGTTCGAAATCATGCCATTTGAGCTCTGCAACGTGCCTGCGACATTTGAGCGCATGATAAATACCATATTGCGTGCCCACAAGTGGAAAACTTGCTTGTGTTACCTAGATGACATTGTAGTCTTTTTAGCTGATTTCCCGACACATCTTCGTCGTCTCCACGAGATTCTGACGTGTCTAACTTCTGCAGGCCTACAACTTGACACCAAGAAATGCCACTTCGCAGCCCGAAAACTAACCATCTTGGGACACGTCATCACAAGAGACAGTGTTCTTCCGGATCCCGATAAGCTTCGAGCTGTCACTGACTTCCCAATGCCCACATCACTGAAAGCCCTAAGAAGTTTCGTTGGTCTTTGCTCTTGCTTCCGTCGCTTCGTGCGCAACTTCGCGTCCATCGTCACACCTCTGACTAGTCTGCTTTCCAACAGCAAAGGTATATCTGCATGGTCACCTGCATGTAACGACGCATTTCGCCAGCTGCGCCGCCTGCTGACCTCACCACCTATTCTTCGCCACTACGACCCCGCTGCTGCCACAGAAATTCACACTAATGCAAGTGGCGTTGGTCTTGGCGCAGTTTTGGCACAACGGAAAGGCACCCAAACCGAATACATAGTCGCTTATGCAAGTCGCGCTCTCAAGAAGGCTGAATTGAATTACTCCGTGACAGAGAAGGAGTGTTTGGCCATAATCTGGGCGCTTACGAAGTTTCGCCCGTACCTTTACGGCCGTCCTTTTGACGTGGTCACAGACCACCACGCTCTATGTTGGCTGTCCACCTTGAAAGACCCGTCCAGACGTCTGGGACGTTGGGCACTTCGATTGCAGGAATAAGACATCCGTGTCGTATATCGTTCCGGTCGTAAGCATGCGGACGCCGATGCACTTTCCCGATTGCCATTAACACCAGATGTGGCTTATCTGCCACCCCGTTTTACCACCTTTGTCACCACTCGACACCACTGACATGCTTTCGGAGCAGCGTAAAGACCCATACCTTGCCTTGTTAGTCTACTACCTTACCGATCCGTCTGCTGTCCCTTCCACGAGAGCGCTACGCTGGCAAGCAGCCCACTTTTCCTTACGAGACAACATTCTGTACCGCCGCAACTACATGCCTGGTCGTCAGAAGTGGCTTCTTGCTGTCCCAACTCGTATGCGCTCTGACATCTGCATGAATTTCCATGCAGATCCCCAAAGTGCTCACACAGGTGTCCTGAAAACCTACGAAAGGCTGCGCCATCGATATTACTGGCGAGGAGTGTATCGCTTTGTGCAGAAATACGTTCAGTCTTGCACCACTTGCCAACAGAACAAGACACCTCCGCGGCACCTTACTGGCATGTTACAGCCGCTCCCGTGCCCGGCTCGCCCATTCGACCGCGTGGGTCCCCTCCCATATAGTAGATCTGGAAACCGGTGGATTATTTTCAGCGTCGATCATCTGACACGCTACGCTGAGACTGCAACTCTACCGGCAGCGACCGCCCACGAAATTGCACTCTTCATTCTCCGCAGCTTCATTCTACGCCATGGTGCTCCGTGGGAATTACTAAGCGATAGGGGTCGACTGTTCCTGTCAGAGGTCATCCAAGCTATCTTCACTGAATGCAACATCATCCACCGGAAATCTATACCGCATACCATCCACAGACAAATGGTCTCACTGAGCGGTTCGACCGCACACTTGGCGACATGCTGAGGATGTACACCTCCTCCGACCACGCTAACTGGAACGCTGTATTGCCTTTTGTTACCTTCGCTTATAACACCGCAACGCAAGCGACTACGAGTTTTTCCCCGTTCTTTCTATTGTACGGCCGCGAACCTTCCCACCCACTCGACACTATACTCCCGTACCGCCCTGATGCATCTGAGTGCTCCCCGCTTTCGTAAGTCACCAGATACGCTGAACACTGCCGTCAGTTGGCTCGATCTCTGACAAGTGAGGCTCAAGGTCTACAAAAGACTCGACACGACGACGGTCACCACATAGCTCCTACGTTTCGTGCTGGCTCCCTTGTGTGGCTTTGGGTGCCCCCGCACGTTCATGGCCTGTCTTCTAAACTTCTGGCCCGGTACCATGGTCCGTACGGTGTCATTGACGCGACCTCCCCGGTGAATTACATCACTGAGCCACTAACACAATCACCAGATTTGCGCCGTCGAGGACGCGAGACCGTACACTTCGACGGTCTCAAGCCCTACTACGACCCCCTCATTGTGCCTACTCCCCGAGTCACCAGGATGGGTACCCTTCACCCCGGGGGTATTGTAGTAGAGCATACGCACCAACGCGTATGCGCCTTCGAAAGATAACGAAAAGCCCTGTGCTCTGCTTGCGCGAGAGCTTGTGCGGCTTTTGCCAGACTTGCCGTACGCCCATTTTCTGTCGCGACCTCGTTGCGACTTCTCTGTTCGAATAAACGTCAGTACACTCATATTAATGCAATTCCTTTCCTGACATCAAGCCTGCCTAAGGGAAGTTTGCGAACAAGTAGCAAGCACAGGCGTAGCTCAGTGGTGGAATACTGGGCTGGCACGAAGTGGACCCGGCTTCGAGCCCCACTGTGTACTTGGTACTAGATTTTTTTTTTATTTTGTGATGGTGGTTATGGACACCGGCAGCGGTGGACAACTACGGTGCCGCACGTGACCCGAGTTTTGATCTCATAACAGCTTTCGCTGTAAAATGACACTTTGCATTAGTGGGCTTCGTGTGGGCGGGGAAGCACCTTTTGTCACAGAGCAAATGGTAGAGCGTAAATTCATGGATCCTTTGAACCTCCGCAATGAAAAGGGTCTTTTTTCTTCAACTTTTATTTATTCTCAATTTACATATTAATTACAACACTACACTCAAATACACAAATAATGCTTTCTTCGATTAGGTTGTGGATGAGAATCAAGTGTAACAACACTGCAGAAGATCCAATATGCCCAACAAGTATTTACAAACAGAAGCTCCTTCACATCACTACACTGCCTTTCAGTTTCACGAT